GGTTTCCCTTCCTCTTAGGATATCCACTTTGTTGGCCTATAAGATCCCAATGGAAGATGCCCTGCCTCTCTCTAGAGCCTTTGCCATGCTGGAAGAAGGTAGGTTGGAATAACTTTTGCAGTGATTTGTAGGGACCTGCAGACTGCCTGGCAGCTACATCAGGGGCAAATTTATTGGCCACCTCAATCTCAGCCACCCACAATGAACAGGTTAATGCAATACTATGATTTCTTGCCAGCTCCACCCATAGCTTTGAGTGTGAGTTTCTCAAAAAGGGTAATCAAAAAGAGTAATCTTTCCATGTCAAAAGTATGTCAAAAGCATATTTTGGATAAGGCACTAAGTTAACTCTTAAAAATCTGTGTAGATCAGAGGTGGTATTCAGCGGTTCTGACCAGTTCTAGAGAACCGGTAGTGGAAATTTTGAGTAGTTCAGAGAACCAGCAAATACCTCTTCTGACTGGAGATTTTACAGTATCCTTCCCCTGCCATGCCCACCAAGCCACGCCCACAGAACCGGTAGTAAAAAAAAAATTGAATCCCACCACTGGTGTAGATGATATCACAGTGAATAAACAGATATATGTTGGATAGAAATAGTAGTTGTACAAAGAGGAATGAAACAAATTATTACCCAAGTCAGGTGTAAATCAACCAGCTATAACTGACTTAATATTTTATTTACACAGCTAAACAGCACTTCAGTCTTGAAGAGTACAGCTTTTCTTTGAACACTTTGGAACAGGTAATGGCTTAGATATTCAAATAATATAGTGGTACTTATAGTGAGAAATTATTCTCTTACATACCAGAATTTAAAAAAAGCTGGTGTATAAGATATTTTGACTATTTGGGAGCAGGAGGTGACTGGAACAATTATAAGACTTATTTTAAATGTTTAAAATACCAGTGGGGAAAGTAGCTATTTAAAAAACATTTTAAACTAGCAACCTTCTCTAGGCTAAGGAGGATCTTAAGCGCTATGCTATCTTTGTAACCCTGATAAAGGGAGTTATAGAAACATCAGATGCATGATGGAAAAAAACAAAACATTTTAATGCTATCACCTTGCATAGATAAATTTACATTTGTGTTTCCACCTCAAGCAAAACGCAGACATAAACTGCTATAATCCATTGTACAATTATTTTATATTCTCAGATGTACGTAGATAGAAGTCAGAATCAATGTTAGCTGTTTATAAATCTAATGTACTGTATGTGCAATTCCTTTGTAGCTATTGATTTATTGTATTGTTCAGGTATTCCTGGAACTGTGCAAAGAACATGAGCGAGATTATTTTGAATCGGGTCCAACTTCTGAATGGAGAGAACTGTAGCATCAACAAGATAGTTGAAAGACTGATCAACAACCAAGGCAAACACACCAGTTTCTTCCACCAGGAAAAATGGAGGGCAAATAGGTTGAGCACTGAGGAATGTTGTGCCTGGACATCCCCTGGGGAAAAAAAATTCTGTAATCTTCTCTATGTTTATAACAAGTATGCCTAGTTGTCTGCGAGAAAGATTAACCCTCATATTTATCGTATCTAGAGATATAACATTTTTGAATATTTCACAACTAACAGCAAAACAAATGTTTCTGCACTATTTTGTTTTCATGAGAAAAAGAAATGGAAATAAATAAATAAATAAATAAATAAATAAATAAATATATACATACATATATATATATGTTTGTTTTCTGAGGTTCTCGCGGGTATTTGTATGTGGATCTTTGGTTATTCGGGTTTTCTCCCGCATAAGATTGGAAGTATCTAGGCAACGTTTCGATGAAGTCTCATTCATCATCTTCAGGCTTCTGTCTTCAGCTCTGTGCTTCTCACTCTGAATACAAATACCCGCGAGAACCTCAGAAAACACACAAACACACACACACACACACACACACACACACACACACACATATATATATATGTATGTATGTATGTATGTATGTATGTATGTATTGTTTATAGCCTAGCACACAAACATGTATAGATGGTATTTTTTATCAGAATATGTTAATATTTTTAATTTAAATAACAAGTCAATGTATATCCAGTTTTTGTTGGGTGGATAAATAAACACCCATACTCTAAATACTTATGTATTGTTACTGTTCCATATTAACATACTTGGAATACCCTTTTCCTATTGGTCCAGATATACTGGACAGTGATTGGTTGGAAAGGCCACTGTGATTGGTCCGCTAGGAATCGCCCACGATTGGTCAGGCCGATCGCGGGAGATTCAAAGAGCCGTCATTGGTTGCGAGCCACGAGCGATCCCTATATGAAGGGTTGCCACGGCTCCAAGGTTGAGCACAGAACTATATACCTAATAAAGAGCTGAACTGTCACTCTGGTCTCCAGTCTCTTTTTCCTGCGATCGAACACTGGCGACGAAGGTGGGATTCTGAGACAAGGAGACCAGTCGAGCACGTGGCAACGAGGACTGACCAACCGATGAGATGGCCGGTAGCAACTCGCCACCTGCACCATTTGACCCAACAGCAGCGGACTGGGATTCGTATGTTGATCGGTTCCTGATGTTCCTGGAAAGCAACGATCTCGAGGGAATCACGGAACAGAGGAAGCGAGCGGTATTCCTCACACACTGTGGGCCCGCAGTTTTCAAGATGGCCAAGGCATTGGCCAAACCAGATGACATGAAGCAGTTGGCATGGAAAGAGCTGAGACGGCTCCTGAAGGCCCATTATGCACCGAGTGTTTCAAACCTGATCCGGCGGCACAAATTCTACAGCCGGAACCAGAAGAAAGGGGAAAGCATAGGCGACTTCGTGGCGGCCCTGAGGGACATCGGCGGTGCATGTGGGTTCTCAAACATGGACAAGGCCATGAGAGACCGCGTGGTCATGGGACTAAGAGACCTCACATTGCAGAGCCGTTTGTTACCCCGACAAGACATCACGATCAACGAAGCCATCGCCGAAGCCACCGATGCTGACGCCGCCAAGAAATCGGCAGCCACAATGTGGAAAATGAATGCAGTGACCTCACAAACACCAACCGAGGCAAACCAGTCACCGGAAAAAAAGACCATCACCACAAACCACAAAGACATCAACTCTCCATCCGAGACCGACGACGAGGAGGAAATACACAGGCTCCAGTCGGAACGGTACAGACGGGAGAGGAGAGATCGTAAGTCAGGATTCCAATGCGCGGAATGCGGCGGAGACCATCCTGGATCTGAGTGCCGGTTCTTAGACGGGGTTTGCTGGCACTGTGAGAAAAGGGGACACATCGCTAGGGGCTGCAGGAATAAGAGAAGCTACAGCTCTAGGCGCCAAGACAGCACCCCCCTCAGAACCAGAGACAGGCAAACCGGGAGCCGCTGGAGCCGCGAAAGTAAAAATAAGCGGTTCAGCGAACCCTACCGAAAGGAAGAAACCCACCAGACCATCACCATCGGGCATTCAAGCACGACCAATGTCCGGAAAGTGCACGTGCTGGTGGGCATCGAAGGCCAGCAGTGTAACATGGAGGTGGACTCCGGATCATATCTATCGATGGTATCCTGGAACACTATAAGGTGCCTAATACCCGGAATCAAGAAACATGAGCTGGAACCCAAGCCTGCTGGGGCTGGAATGGTTCGCGCCATTGGGGATCGAGGTGACAGGCATCAACCACGTCACTGAAACAGACTGGGAGGAGAAGATCATGAAGGACTTCCAGGATGTCTTCGATGGGAAATTAGGCAAGTACCGAGGGTCCCCAATTTCATTTAACCTGAACCCCCAAATAGCCCCATTCCGTCTAAAGGCGAGGCGAGTCCCTTTTGCGCTCAAACCGAAAATCGATGAGCAATTAGACAAGCTCATCGAACAAGGGGTCCTGGAACAGATAGACCACGCTCGGTGGGAAACCCCAATAGTCACCCCAATTAAGCCAGATGGGTCCGTGAGAATCTGCGGTGACTACAAGGCCACCCTCAACCACGCATTGCAGCAGAGTGTATACCCCGTTCCGGTGGTACAGTACCTCCTACACTCACTGGGGGGAAGAAAGGTCTTCGCAAAGCTCGACCTGGCGCAGGCATACCAGCAACTGCCAGTCGACGCTGAAACAGCTGAGGTGCAGACCATTGTGACCCTTAGGGGGGCATTCCGCTGCAAAAGACTCCAATTCGGGGTCAGCGTGGCCCCAGGGGTGTTCCAGAGCTTAATGGAACGATTGCTACAGGGAATAAAAGGGGTGGTGCCCTACTTTGACGATGTGCTGGTGGCGGCAAAGAACAAAAGCCAATTGGAAAGCCACCTCAGGGAAGTCCTGCAAAAATTTAAAGAGGCAGGACTCAAAGTAAAGAAGGAGAAGTGCCAGCTATGCACTGAGAAAGTAGAGTTCCTGGGGCACTTGATTGACAAAAAGGGAATCCACCCCACCAAAAAGAAAATTAAAGCCATCAAAGAAACCCCTAGACCACAAAATAAAATGGAATTATAGGCATTCCTAGGGCTCGTTAACTTTTATAACGTTTTCTTGCCACAGAAGGCAACAACGGCGGAACCTCTACATAGGCTGTTAGACAAAACAGCCACCTGGTCCTGGGGCAAGCGAGAAGAAACTGCGCTCCAGAAAATAAAAGACCTGCTGACATCGGATTCGGTCCTCATACAGTACAGTGAGACCCTACCGCTGACCGTGACTTGCGACGCTTCACCATTTGGCGTTGGTGCCATCCTAAGCCACACTCTACCGGACGGGAGATAAGCACCAATCGCATACCACTCAAAGACATTGTCCATGGCAGAGAGGAACTACAGCCAGCTGGACAAGGAGGCACTAGCAGCAATCACCGGTGTGAAGCGGTTCCATGAGTACCTGTATTGCAGGACGTTCTCCCTCATCACTGACTACAAACCACTCCTAGGAATACTGGCAGGGAACAAGACCACCCCGAACATATTGTCACCACGGATGACAAGATGGTCCGAGTTCCTTGCCGCCTACAACTACCAGCTAATACACTGACCAGGAAAAAACATCTCGCACGCTGACGCCCTAAGCCGCTCCCCCCTACCTGACCTGGAAGATGACCCGGCACCCACCACATCCATACTGCAAATAGAGACCTTACCCAACTTACCCATGACCGCATCAGACATAGCCAAAGAAACTATTAAAGACAGGCAACTGGCACGAGTTTTGAACTGGGTAATAAAAGGGTGGCCGGAAACCGATGAAGGCGGGCAGTTTAAACCCTTCCGGAACCGCCAAACTGAGCTGTCAATGCAAAAGGGATGTATACTATGGGGGGACAGAGTTGTGGTTCCCGGGAAATTACAAACAAGGGTGTTGGACATGTTACATGAAGGACACCCAGGTATTGTTAAAATGAAATCCCTGGCCAGAAGTTACGTTTGGTGGCCAGGGATGGATAAAACCATTGAAACATGGGTGGCAACGTGCGGCAAATGCCAGAGATCCAGACCAAACCCCCCCCTCCGCGCCAACTCTCGAGTTGGAAACACCCAGGGGCCCGTGGTCAAGGGTCCACATAGATTTTGTGGGACCTACTAAAGGACATACCTTCTTAATAACGGTTGACGCTTACTCCAATTGGCTGGAGGTCAGCGTCATGCAATCAACAACTATAGAGGTCGTCATCAAAAAATTGACTAAACTGGGGACTTCCGGTTGCAAGGCTTCGGCGGCGGCAGGAATCCGCTTCTCTGAGGGTCCCTGCTGCGCTCGCCGTTGAGGTACCCCCGATCCAACTGGATTTGGGGGTTGTTGCTGCCCCGAAGAGACAGAGGAAGACAGAGGAGATCCGGGCAGGGGTCTGGGGATATCGCACCCCCTTTCCCCAGCCGGCTAGACTCCTTTTTCCTGAGGTGGTGGAGCAGCTGTCAGAAATGGCAGCCACAAAGGAATCTTCAACCGGATAAGACTGTGCAGGAGGAAGACAGAAGGAGAAGTTTTCTTGGCTGAACCGGGATACTAAGTAACTTTTAAAACACCCTGGAAACCTGACTTTCAGATTGATACATTTGTTTCCAAAAGAAGTTGTTACGGCGGCGAAAGTGCTGAAGGAAAGTTCACTCCCCTTCCTTACGGAGAAAGCAAATGAGCACAGAAAAACCTGCTTCTTTAAGGTAAAAATAAGCTCTTTGTTATAAATGGGAAGGAGAGGACTAAAAAAAAAATCTTCAAAAATTTGTTGGAGGAGACGCCTTGAAGATTATAAGACCAACAACTAACTGTAATACGGTTTTAAAATATATTTGGGATCTTTCCCCAGGAGGAAAAGCTGCAAAGAGAAGAAGAGGAAATAATTTCTGTCTGTTTGGACTGTTTGATAACTGACATTTGCAAATTACTTTAAGATTAAAAACATCTGGGTTGTTCTTAAAAACTTACAATGGCACCATCTGTGGATCAACTAAAAATGGAATATGAAAAATTAAAAGAAAGACAACAAAATGACAAGGATTTATTGGGAGCTGTCTTCCACTTTTTAGAAATGGCGGTTTCTACGTACCAGCAAATACTTGAGGAAGAAGGAGAAGGAGAAGAAGAAGAAAAGGAAGCCATTTTTAATGGACAAAATAGTTCGATTAAGAAAGAAAATAGGAAGAGAGGAAGGAAAAATGAGAA